CGTCGTCGCTTTGCTGTTCTCTCTGATCAGCTGTTTGGACATACAGGGCCCAAAATAGTCCTCAGAACACAGATCTAATTAACTGCATCGTCTGGGTGCCATCCAGCGAGGACACGTCTTATCTTATTTGGCCCGATCGCTGATATTTTGCTTCATTCCTACAAACAGGATTATACAATAAAAAGTATTTGAAGACATTACGGGATTATAATGTAACTTGGATTAAGTAGAGCAGATTGGTCTTGATCACCACTATGTGACATGGTATTACTCTTACACTCTTACAAGTCGTTTGACTAACCTTTGCCAATGCCAACAATAGCCTACTAATAAATAATAATAATAATAATAATGCTTCTTATAATAATGTTTGTAAGAAGAAAATTGTACTGTAACCACTGTAATGACAGCTGTGTAACGGAGTAGATGATTCATTATGATAAAAGTGCACTTTTTCTACAAATATAGGTTAATATTGGTTTCTCATGTAAGCAATAAAGCAATAAAAAGGCACAAAATGCATCTTTTTAATCAAATCAAATGTTAAATGAATTCATCAGTCTCAAATGTAGCTTTACCAAAGGTCACACAAGTAACAAAAATTTGTTTCACTTTTTTATGTTTCTTATGTAATTCTGTGGTGCTAATCATTATTACACCTTATTTATTTTCATGTTGCAGCATTACTATTTTGTTAAATATTTAGGTCAGATACATTTTCTATGAAGTTCTATGCTTAATTATGAAACATTGGTTTATTACAGATTTCGTACTATTTTTGAATACTTCTTTTAAAGATATTTAGCAAGGATAGGAACATTTTAGACGTTTCTGTGACATTCTGTAATATTCTAGTGCTTTCTGGAACATTCCAGAACATCGTGGAACTAGTCATAAAAGAAAAAGAAAAAAAATCATCCAATGTACGCTTCTGAAGTTTTAGACAACTCACTTTTAGTAACTGCTTATGTTAAACTGTTGTTAACAGATAGTAGATTTTATGAGCACTGTTAATGATACACAAAAAATAATTTTCGTAGATTTCCGTATCAACCATGTCAAAAGTCATAAAGAAACGTTAAAAATAAAAGCAAAACAAAACTAAAAATTTGTTTTGCACTGTAATGTGAGAAAAAGCAAAAATAAAATATTATTTTTCTTGATTTATGGTAAATATAATGTATCAATTAGGGATGCACCATCTCTCATGTAATTGGTCAATCAGTGCTTCAACCCCAGAAATTATGTAAATATAAAAGCTTGTGAACATGCCACTTAAAGTAACATTTCCTCAGGAAAGTTATTCAGTGTTCATAGTTTGTTAGTTAGCAGTAAAAAAAAACACTATGGGAGCTTATTTATGGTTAACTATTTCTGTGTGTTTAAGTATATCATGTTTTTATGCAAATTACCTGTGTAATTGAAACGTTTGGATACAACTCTTTTTGAGACGATGCAAATAAATGATAATGATTAGCCTATTATATCTAAAAATGAATAGCATTTGAATATAAAAGTTATTGAAATGCACCAAATGAGGGGTCTCCCTGTTAGGTGTGCAGCAATAGTTTTTTTTCCCCCTTAAGAAAAAACTGACATGCAGACCTACCTAAAATACACAATTTATATATAATCAATATTTATATACAAATGAATCAGTATTGAATTGCATTGTGTAAATCTGTATACCATGATATTTTCTAAAATGATTACCATACTGTATGTACTGTAGCATAAGCATTCAACAGCATAAAAAATTGCAAGCAGACATTACCATAAAACTATTTATTTATTTGATTTGTTGTTTATGTCGTGTTTATTTGTATGTTCATGTCTATTTGCAGTGTTGTCAAAAATTCTAATTTATATATAATATATAATTAAAATAATAAATTATAATAAACATAGTGCGTTTAATAAATTGATAACAATTTGTTGAAAAAAAAATAAAATAATGAAGAGTCCTATTTTTCTATCTTTTTGTAAAGTATAAAAAAATAAATTACAACATTTTATGTATTACTTCTTACTCTATAATGTGTTAGCCAAGCAAGCTAACGCGCTCTGAGAAGTCAGGGAAAATTGTTGACAATTATGTTGTGCATTTTAACAAGATATAGATGTCTTGGTTGAACATTGACGATTAAGATACAAAACAAATCTCAACAGATCTGGCCAGATCTCGTTTCAATCTCAGGGAAGACTGAAATACAATCCAATGTCACATAGTCTGCCACAGTAATTACAGTCAATTTATACTAATCCCAATAATCATCAGACCTTTCATCGTCAAGGCAAAATGATGGCACTGTTACCAATCCACTTTCTGTCTTGCGAGTTAACAACAGCAATACAGAGCCATAGGTCCTATTTGACCTTAGATGAAGGTTGTGGTGCTCCGACGCTTGATGAACACGGCCTCTAAAATTAGCACACTTGCTTGGCCAAGGCTTCAATTAAGGCAAGCAGAGACTGTTCCATGACTGCACCTTCTGTGTCTGTCTGAGAGGAAGAAAGAGAAAAAGACAGGAAACGGATATAGTCGCAGAGAGAAACAGAGAGATCTGTGTTACCTCGGGCAGTCCTCCTCCTCAGTGTTTTCTGATCTATGTTTGCATGCCTGCAGGACCAGCGTTCACCACAGTATAGCTTATAATGTTTTTCACCTGCAGTACATGAGAAAGATGGAGTCTAGAGGATTATTAGCATCATTCTCATATGCCTTTGATACTATATATCCACATCGACTTACTTCCTTAACCTCCACAGACCACAGCATCGATACGATTTATGGAATTTACATAAATTGTTTCAGGAAACAACTGGTTATATAAATCATCATGGTTATGCATATTTTGATTTAGTATTTGATATGTAGTATCTTCCATATCAAATTGTTATCGGAATAGTTCACCCTCAGGAGATCCAGGAGATGATTTCTTCATCGCAACAGATTTGGAGAAATTTAGCATTGCATCACTGCACCTAATGGATGCTCTGCAGTGAATGGGTGCCGTCAGAATGAGAGTCCAAACAGCTGATAGAAACATCATAATAATCCAAAAGTAATCCACACCACTCCAGCCCAGCAATTAATGTATTTTGATGTGAAAAATTAAACATAATTGCATCTGACATCGTTAATGATTTAAAAGGTTTATTATATTTATTTTTGAATGAATGAACAAAAGACAAAATATATGTTAGAAAGTGAGGTAAAAATAATGTAATATTAGTATGTTATTATTTACCGGTCAATTGGAATATTGCTCAGTTTTACCTGAAGGCATCAACAATGGCTTCAATGAGCAATCAGCATGGAAATGTGTGTTTGTTAAAAGTAATATATAAGTATAATAATGTCATTAAATGAAAATATAATACAATACAACATGTTCAATTTACAAACACGTTACCTCCCCCTTGACTCAGTTCCAAACACCGACAACCTTGTCCAGAGGTCATCAATTAGCAGACTGTAATTTGTTCCACCAAGACAAGCAAATAATTGATCTTAAATTCATATAATTATAAACAGAAAAAAAGGAATTTATACAATGAAAGGGGTTTAGTTATCTGTCTCACTTAGGGTTTGCAAGGCATCATACAATAAAGATAATTCATAAAGCAGCTGTATTTGGAAAATATGGAAACTTATTTGTTATTCTATAACAGAGAAATTGGCAGTCTCTGAGAGATTTTGGATTACATATATGATTTATTGCTGAGAAATTAAATAATTTTCTGAAGAAATCGTGAGTGGTGCCTTTGCAAACCACAATATCGTGCTGGTGGTTGCTTACTGGTGAAAGCTCTTGTTTCTTATTCAGACCCTGTTCCATTTATAACGTAGCCTATTTACAGTACATTTTCATGAATTTAGTGTCCCAAATTAAATACAATGCACTTATTGTATGCATTAGTGTATGAATTATATGAAGCTATTTTGTCATCCAACATCAGAGTATAATAGCCAGTCCCATTCCGGTACACAATTAAAGCTGCAACAGGAATCAAGCCATGGCACAGTATCTTAATTTATGCTTTTTCTTAAGTGGCACCTACTGCCTGAGAGTGATTTGCATATGTATTCAGCCCATCTGAACAGACAGATCGCATGCGCAAATCGAACCAAGTTCGTATTGGTGTAAACTGGCCTTTAGATCACATGGGCATCTGTGCTTCATAATGTGATTTCTCTCAACTGAGACTGGGATGTTGCACAAGCCGGTTCTTAATGTTCCAGCACACTGACAGCAGATGTGAGAATGCTGGTGCAGACAGCTGTGATGAGAAATAAAAATAAACATGCTGAAGAGAAATGCCATTAAAGATCATTCAGTGTCAGTCAACTTCATTCTTTGAGTTCTTAACTCAAAACTCCATTCAGCCAAATGATGAAGCCATAAAAAATACTTTATCAGGCTGTACTGAATAAGCTACCATTGCTATATACAGTATATATATATACATTTATATACAGGATGCTGCCTCTCTATGAAGAGAAGACTATTACACATTGTATGTCTGTAAGGTTCTGGAGGATTTGATATCCTTTTCTTCCCTTTATAAGTGCTGATGAGAATGCAAACGCTTCCTCTCTTCTGCTTACTGAAAAGGAAGGCCAGACTGATAAAGAGTGTATTGATCATCTTATTGATGATTTGTTGTTTACTGGGTAAAAATATCAATACGGAAAATGCGAAGTCGTAATGGATCCGTGTAGACACACATCCACATTGGCTGTTATGTCACTTAGAACAAAGATACAATTTAGGATTTGAATAGACTTGTCAATCAATTAATTTTCTGCTTAGCAATCAAAGCTGAAGAATCCTTTTAGCACACTTTTAGCATTAAATGTACATGTGTGAAGTACTGTAAGTGTATATTTAAAGTGCCAGTGTTTTACTTAAAAGTGTTTAAAGAAAAGTTCAGCTTTTTGCAGTTATCAATAGATTAATTTCTCTTTTTCTCTTGTGCTCTATCATATCATATAGGGGTGTTGTTCGAGTGGACGTCAGCCTGCAGGATGTGGATATTGATCAGTGCTCTGCAGATGGCTGGTTTGCAAATGCCTGGCCACACAGGTGCAACCTCACCACTATGGAGGTGAGTCCAACTTCAAGCTTTTGCTTCAGTGTCATGATTGCAAACACCAAAGTTTTGTCTTATTTAATAAATTCCAGGAGACCAGTCACACTTCAGTGGACTAAAAATATAAATAGAATATAACATTAAAGGAAAAGTACGTGACAGCCTTTGTGAAAAAATAATAAAAAGTATAATATCTTAAAATTATAATATAGATATTATAATAAAATAAAAGGCCATTTAAGTTAAAAAAGTTAAAACTTTCATGACAGTGTTTTTTTTTTGTTTTTTTTTTACACTTAAAGGGATAATTCTGGGATAAATTATGTCATTACTCACCCTCATGTCTTTCCAAAACCATAAGACCTTCGTTCATCTTTGGAACACAAATTAAGATATTTTTGATGAAATTCAAGAGCGTTCTGACCCTGTACTTAGTAGTAATGTCAAATTAAAAACAAATTGCATTTTAGATAACTATGTTTTGATAATATTTTGTTAAGCTTTAAAGAAGTATACATGTATTTTGATGTGTTGACTAACATACTAAAGCACATGTTAACTGTAGTGTGCTATTTGATATCCAAACATATAATTACAAATATACATGACACGTTTCAATAGAAATTACATTGTATATATATATATATCGTTTACTATAGTTTACTTGGTTTACTATAAATGTTTGGCAGTTTGGCAGTATTTCAAATATAATAGTAATAATGAAATTATATATAAGTCACTCAAATTACATATAAGTTACAAAAAGTCACTCTAAAGTTCAGCTAATTGCATTTATAATATAAATGTAAACTATTTAAACTATAATAAAATTCTCATGGAATGCAGTTAGTTAATTGTCTAAAAACAATATATTCAGGTCTTTAAGAAATTTAAGAAAAAAGCACACTAAAACTATGATATTGTAATATATTATATTATATTATTAAAAAATATCCTACTTTTTTTCACATAAAGTCAAGCACCAAATTGTCAACAAAAGTTATATGATAGCTTCTAAACAGCTCAAAACAAAAAAAAAGCCCTAAAATGAAGTTATATGTAGTAAAAAATGGTGTGTCGATGCCATTAATGCTAAAAGGCATCGATGATATATTTACTGCTTTGATTCTGCATTTTTATGCCAGTTTCATCATGAGACAAACAGAAACCAACGTTGTTTGACATCATTGACATCAAGTAAATGATGTTAGAATGTTTATTTTTGGATGAACTATTTCTTTAATATCCCCGGTTTGCTGCAGAACATACATAATTTGAACTTTTCAGGACCTCTTACAAAGAAGTAAAAAAAAATCACATCATTGCAGAGCAGCATGCCAGCTCACATTGTGATTTCCGCTCTTGATTCATGGCGTTCATCCTGCTGTTATTTTGAATAACAAAAGACATTTTTATATATATCTTTGACCTTCTGGCTCAACAGTGAATGCTTTTGCTTTGTCTTAATGCTGTTAACCTGATGCTTGGAGGATTGCAGTTATAAAGAGAATAGATTTTTAAGGTCTGGCTCCTTCATAATGGATGTGATGTAATAGATTGCACAGGGTGCACTGAATAATTGAGAAAGCTCTTTGTGTGCTCAGCCTCCTGATGGACACTGCACAGTGTGCGTGTGCGAGACACAGTCGAGCATACCGCACATAGCGACACAGCATCTTCACTATATTATGCAATTGAATTTGTGACCTCTCTGTCATAATAGCTTTCATCCACCCCTAGTAACACAGGTCTGTTGATGGTGACGCTGACTATAAATAGAGCTCAAAACCAGTAGTGTAATGTAACGAAGTAATAATACTTAATTACAGTACTTAAGTATTTTTTGGGAGTATCTGTACTACACTTGAGTTTTTATATTGCTTTTACTCCACTACATTTCCTAATTAAAATGTATACTTTTACTCCGATACATTTCCCGAAGCATATTCGTTACTTGCTACAAAATAGTCAGAAGTCAGAAGAACACAAACTGCAGGAAAGCAGGTTTGATGAATCAGTGGTCTGGCGCTTGCGCGTTAGACTCCTAAAACACCTTTGCTAATGTGCAAACAAGATGATTTCATTTTCCACTCAAGTCGAGTCTCGGGTGTGCGATATACAGTATATCTTTTGCGATAATATGGTAAGTGTTGTTGTAATGATGTGCAATCTGACATGATCAAGTAGGCTATATCACCAAATCACACACAGAGTGCACGCATATTGATTTATTAATCTATTAAAACTCAAAATTCCAGGCATTCTAAATAGTAGACGGCACTACATTGTATACAGAATTGTATACAGTATGCTTCTATATGCTTTTTATATTTATATAATTTAATATAGTTAACTTAATCTATATGACACAAAGAGTACCGTTTTTCTGCAGATATCAGCATGAACACAGTAAAATGATTTGTTTCTGAATGAATCCGTCGTTTGAATGAATCGGTTGAATCTCAATGTCTCACTCATTAACAGTCACTTGCTGTCACCTACTGGCGGTTTTAATTTCAAATTTCGACTATTTTTTTCATGTTTTAAATTATTTCAAATATCAGTATTCAACGTTTTATGTTAAAAACAAAACATTAGGCCTTTTTACATTAGGCCATTAGGCCATTTATGCATCTGTAACTGCAGTTTAAATGCATCCATGTCCCCTCTGAGTTAAACTGTGTAAATTAGGGCTGCAACAACTAATCAATTCAATTGGTTATTATCGATTATGAAAATCATCGACAACGATTCCCATTATCGATTAGTCGGGTCTGCCCACAGTGCACGTGTGCACGTCCCTGGTCACGTCAAATTCCAGCACTGAATTACATATTTTTATGGACAAAATGCTTCTAAAAATAGTGGAGGAGTGGAGGAGAGATGCTGCGGGAGAGTTACGTGATCCAAGCTGCCCAAAACATGATAATTCTTTATTTTAAGCTTTAAGCTAATGCATTAGCGTAATGGCTTGCCCTGGCTCTTTGGCAGATGTGTGCATCCTCAGCATAAAAACTTTCAGTTTACGGTCATATCCTTATGTGTAAATGCCACAAATTCACATGAGCATTTCCGTTTTTGCATAATGGTCCATCCTGACAGTCTGTGTTAAGTTTGAATCTTTACTGAATTAGCGGCGGGCGAGTGCACGCGCGTCAGACAGACGGAAAAGAGAGGCAATTAATAATCAGCGCAAAAACATTAATTGTGCTGAAATATCTGTTGTTGAAAGTTAAATCGAGGTTTAAAGGTCAACATGCATTGCGAGTATTTTATGAGATTAGGAACTGTAAGGGGATAACGCTTCATAACCGCCAATTACAGGATAAAGAAATGACAGTAAGACGTGACTGTGATCAAAGTAAATGTGTGTTCCTGCAGAACATTACTCTTACCTATTGGTTACAAACTGAGTTTGTGATTTTATTCGTCTTTATTATTTTAATTTTTAATGCAGAGATTTTAACTATATACATATATAACTATATACAATGCTTAAATTTATTAAAACAAATGTATGTAAGGTTTTTAACAAATTATGGTTTGTGCCACTGCTGCTCTAAACTAACAGTACTGGTGATTACCAAAATCATTTTTTAGCTTTCTGTATTGGTTAGTCCTCCAATATGTGTAAGCTCTTTAGTAACAGTAGTAGGCTATTTCTAATGCTATAATATAATTATTGCTGTTATCTATGAAAGAAAGACAGATACCTTTATAGTGTTTTTTTCTTCAGATACCCAATTACAGTCAAAAAGTTCATAAACAATGCCAGCAAGAATGCAAGCTGTTATGAAGGGCATAGGAGGCCTTTTTTATGTGAATAAATGCTATTTAGTTGTTTAAGTTTATTTGCCCAATAAATGACAATAACATTTTTTGATTTAAACAATTTTTTTGACAGATTCCTAAAATTCCTAAAATGTGTTTTCTCTTTATTATGGCAGGTGGTCTTATAAATTGTTAAGCACTGTATGTTTTCATAGCATTCAGTTGGAACGTTTGTATGAAGGACATTGGTCAGAATGTGGAATAGTGTTTTTTGTCAATAAAATTAAAACTAAAAAAAAAAAAAAAAATCAATTTAACCAAAAACACAATAACACATTGATGTAATAGATTGCACAGGGTGCACTGAATAATTGAGAAAGCTCTTTGTGTGCTCAGCCTCCTGATGGACACTGCACAGTGTGCGTGTGCGAGACACAGTCGAGCATACCGCACATAGCGACACAGCATCTTCACTATATTATGCAATTGAATTTGTGACCTCTCTGTCATAATAGCTTTCATCCACCCCTAGTAACACAGGTCTGTTGATGGTGACGCTGACTATAAATAGAGCTCAAAACCAGTAGTGTAATGTAACGAAGTAATAATACTTAATTACAGTACTTAAGTATTTTTTGGGAGTATCTGTACTACACTTGAGTTTTTATATTGCTTTTACTCCACTACATTTCCTAATTAAAATGTATACTTTTACTCCGATACATTTCCCGAAGCATATTCGTTACTTGCTACAAAATAGTCAGAAGTCAGAAGAACACAAACTGCAGGAAAGCAGGTTTGATGAATCAGTGGTCTGGCGCTTGCGCGTTAGACTCCTAAAACACCTTTGCTAATGTGCAAACAAGATGATTTCATTTTCCACTCAAGTCGAGTCTCGGGTGTGCGATATACAGTATATCTTTTGCGATAATATGGTAAGTGTTGTTGTAATGATGTGCAATCTGACATGATCAAGTAGGCTATATCACCAAATCACACACAGAGTGCACGCATATTGATTTATTAATCTATTAAAACTCAAAATTCCAGGCATTCTAAATAGTAGACGGCACTACATTGTATACAGAATTGTATACAGTATGCTTCTATATGCTTTTTATATTTATATAATTTAATATAGTTAACTTAATCTATATGACACAAAGAGTACCGTTTTTCTGCAGATATCAGCATGAACACAGTAAAATGATTTGTTTCTGAATGAATCCGTCGTTTGAATGAAT